CCGCTCGGAAACCTCCTCGAGGTACATTTGGTCTCCACTTACACTTGATTCGGTAAGACGACAACTGCAACCATTCACACCCCAACGCCATGAGTGCCTTGTACACTTCGTTCATGACATGTGCGGGGTCCTTTTTACTTTGAATACCCAGATACCACCTACGTGTTCGTCTCCCGTGTTGGTGCTGGGCAATCATGCCAGTGTTCCCCGGGATGGAGGAAGTCATTTGCACGACAGGAGGCCCACCTACTCCAACAGGACTCGGTGACTGTTGACCAGGCGTTTGATATTGGGATTGGTGCCCACCACCTGGATGCATGAGAGCTCTGGCCGCTTCTTCTGCTAATCTAGCTTGATTTGATGGTGACCCTGCATGAGCAGCAGCACTGGGGGACATTGATGTGGATGAGTAAGTATTGCCATACTGTCTTCCATCGTGGCTTCCACCAGATGAGTACCTATTCCCGCCATAATGACTTCCTCCAGGGGTTGTTCCTCTGGAACCGCCTGGGCTAAATGCAGGCGGAGTAGCACTGGCTGCTTCCTTGATAGCTCTGGCAACCTCCATCACCCGCAATCTGGTGTGCTTATGGTCCAGGATGAGCTCATAGGCACAACGAAGATCCCTCAAGACCTTTGGTGTGCCTGAGTCTCGATTGTCTTCCAAAGCAGCAGCTCGCTCAACAAGTTCACGAGTGATAATGCCTTGTTTGCAATTGTGCTGGGCCATCCTCCACAACACCATTATCAAATTGGTTACCATTGTGTTTTGTTTCTGTTTTTTTTTTTTTAGGGCACAGGTTCCATGGCCTTGTGAAAAGGTAGTTTCATGACTTCATCAATGACTTCACGATCAACTACACGTTCTTGTTTTTCCATGAGCTCTGGTGGGTGTCGTAGGATAGAGGTGGAAGTTTGTGTTGAAACCGATGGATGAACCCGGATTCAGGAATGGTGTGCCTCTGTCAGTCGGTGTCCTGACTTGCCAGCATGCGTGGGATAAGGTTTTTGGCCAATTGTGACAAGTGAGTTGGTAGGCTGTACATTCCGCTCTTAATTTTCTTGAAGAGATTTGGAATGGACTCATCGTCAAAGGGAAGCGAACCACACAGCAATGCATAAAGGATGACTCCACAAGACCATACATCCACTTCAGGCCCAGCATAGAGATGACCACTGATAACTTCCGGGGCGGCGTAGTTGGGAGAACCACAAGATGTCCTCAGGAAATCTCCGTCTCTCATCAAGTTGGAAAGCCCAAAGTCAGCAATCTTAATATTCAAGTTTGCATCGAGCAGAAGGTTCCTAAAAATTGCAATTGAGTTGAGTCGAACAAACTGTTAGAATCTTCTGTTGCTGATTCTGAGTACAAATTATATGCGGAATCACTCACTCCGGCTTGAGATCGCGATGAACAATTTTTTGGAAGTGGCAGTACTCCACTCCAGAAATGATTTGATGGAAGAAATTCCTGGCCTCGTCGGCGGATAGACGCCCCTTGGACACAATGTAATCGAATAGCTCCCCTCCCGAGACGTATTCATTAACCAAGAAGATATCTGTAGGGGTATCGATGACTTCGTACAACCGAATAATGTGAGGATGGGTGCACAGGTGTAAGATGTTGATTTCTCGTTGGACTTTTTCTTCCATCCCCAGCTGTTTGATTTTTGCCTTATTCAGGATCTTCACAGCTACTTTGTGTCCTGTCACCACATGGGTAGCAAGTTTGACCTACCGCATAATGAGGCAACCATGAGAGAAATAATTAGCTGATTGACGCCCGGGGCCGATGACACCAGCGAACACAACCATGGAGTCCGTGGTGACACCCTGCGGATCCCCTCGTTCTCACCTTTCCAAAAGCCCCGATACCCAGGTTTTTGCCCAGGATGAATTGTCCGATCTGGACGGGTGCTTCCATCTTGCCTTGTGCCTCTGCAACTTGAGGCTTGAGGTCGCGGGGGATGCTGGTGGGAGCAGTCAATTCTCGAGTTGTTGGTGCCTTGGCTGCTGTCAAGAGTCGATTCGATTCGAGTGACAGCTGTCACGCCTTGAATGGAGTCTGCCAAGCTGCCAAGGCACAATGCAGCTGTGATGCTGTGATATGTGAGGATGTGCCGCTTGGGGTTGTGGTTGGGGTGGAACCCTACTCCGCTGAATTGGTGCAGTTTGTGTAGGATCCAGTATGTATCTACTTGAGTCATGCTTCCTCGAATTTTCTGGGAAGCCACTCGGAATCAATCGCGACAGCATGACTAGTCAACGCTCACAATTTCGGTATAGTTTCTACTTGAGTCATGCTTTCTCGAATTTTTGCCTGACCATCCGGAACCATTCGCGACGGCATGACTAGTCAACGCTCACATTTTCGATATTAAGAAAATTCCAATAAAATTTGGATAGATGTGGATTGCCACCAAGACATGTGGATCGATCTACGATTGACTTGGATTAAACCGTATCTTTAAGCTAAAACAAAGATTGTTCAATTTCTGAAACAATTACTATGGTATATGGTTGTAATAGATTTTGAACAAAACCAGTTTTGCTATCTATCAGGGTTCTTAGCTAACGGAAGATTAAGAGAGGAGGAACTGATCGGACACCAACGCGAAGGCTGAAATCGACTGATCGACTGAAGACAACTCCAAACATTCCTCACTTCTGCTCTCATAAAATCGAAGCCACCAAAACTGAAAAGCAAAAGCGAAAGCTATGCAATTTTGGTAGCAAATCCAATCAAACTTCAATAGCGTTCGACAATGGCCCTCTTCTAGTAATGCCGGTAGCCTCCGCCGTATCCATGATGACTCTGCCAGTTTCCCGATGGATTTGATTGGTAGTTTGTTGGACCATGAGGTGGCGGAACGGGAGAACTTGAAGATCGACGTTCCGGTGGGGGCATATGATTATGGGGAACTGGAGAATGTCCTCGATTCTGTGCGGGAGGGGGTCCACGATAGCAACCACTTTCAATTGGAGGTCCATGATATCCTCCACGATCAGTTGGAACTCCATGGAAGCCACCATGAAAATTTCCTCCATAGCCACCATGATGTTCTGGCGGCGGTGCACGGTATCCACCATTCATGGGAGGTCCTCGGTAGCCACCATGATTCGTTGGAGGTCCTCCGTACCAACCTTGATCAGTTGGAGGTCCTGTGGGAGGTCCAGAGTACGACCAAGAACCATGATTGGGTGGTGGTCCTGGAGGTGTGGGACCATACGAAGAATACCCTACCGGTGGTGCATAGTATGGATCATGAAACGGCTGAGGCTGATATTCATAGCGTTGCGGGGGGTAGGAGTGCGAAGGTGGATACTGGGGAGCTGGCGGCGGGGCATGATACTGATCATGCATGGCGGCGGTGACATTCTGAGCTTGTGCCGCAACGGGGGGTGGCTTCTGCTGTTGCAATTGGCGCTCCTTCTCCGCCAATAGCGCACGGAGACTTTCGATTTCATCATTCGAGTTGACAGCAGTGGACGACGACCGAGCAGCAGGTTTGGAATCCTCCATTTGGACATCCTTCACATTTTGTCGCTGCATGACTTTTCCAAGTTTGATTGCATTGAGCTGATTGCCGACGCGCTCATTGGTCAGTTCATTGACATAATGTTCCTGAACCGTCTTGCTGGACTGACGAGCCATGTTGGCCACTTCAGTTGCGTTGAGACCACCAGAGATTCCTGACGAGATGTTCATAGCCCGCAACGCATGGCCTGTACAGGCATCAAAGTCGTCAACTCCAATCTTTTCGGCAAGATTCTTCAACCACTTGGTGATACTGCGTGGACCAACATTGTGATTTCCTTCCTTGAAACCACCGGGCTGAAACCAGACCTCACGTCGTTCACCATCCAAGAGACCATGTTTCCGGGTCACGGCATCACTGATTTTCTGGCGTTTGTCCTGGCTAAGGATGTACCGCGAATAGAATGCTTTTGCTTCAGGGTGAGAGTGTTTGACTATGAGTTTGTAAAACTCGACTGGATTCCAACCTTTGATCTCTGATTCCGCGGGGATGTACAGCTCGGTCCGCTGGTTTGGCTTGATGGTGGGATTATTGATGCTCAAGCGCTTTGCCTTCTTACCAAAAATGGCAATCTTGACATATTCGGTTCCTTCAAGCTCAGGTCCGAAACTATTGTCGAAGAAGTGAAAGCTGATGTCGCTATGATTCAGCAATACATGATCTTCTCCACCTCGGAAGGCAGCGTAATATCCATTGCAGAAAGCAACCACCATGAGCAAGTCATCAATGTTGTTGAGCGGATCAAGCAACCCAGACTGAATCGCCTTCATCAAGAGAGGAAGATATTCTTCAGGAGCACGCTTCTTGTTGGGTGCGGCACCGTACGAGGAATCCTTCTTTTGCTCCTCCTGCATCTTGTCCGTGATGATACCACCAAACTCCCCAACGCCCTTGAACTCTTTGATCTCAAAGAAAATGTTGCGCTCACGGAGTTTGACGAGTAGATTCCGAAGCGTCTTCAAAAGCGACGAAGGTTGCATTTCGTCTCCAATTTGACCACCGATGGGACCCGACGAAAGCTTCTTCCATTTGAGACCGCAATGAATCATGAACCGGTTCATGATGTTGTACTTGGCGGGAGTCCGTTCTCCTTCGAGATAGTCATACAGGGCAAGGTCGAGTGTCGAAAAATCCCCTTTGGCTTGAAGGTATCGGCAATTGACCATCTGGAGCATCGGTTTGACCCAAGGTTGATCAATCTCACGAACTGTCTGTTCAAATCGATTCACCGCATGCACCTTGCGCGCTTCAGTCTCCTTGGTATTGGATCCTCTCTTGCAGTTGTCTACAAGATCCTGGTCATCTCCAAATTCGTCCTTGGATTCGTTCATCATTTTGCAAATGGAATCCATCATGTCATTTTCATCTTGAGTGAACGCGGGCAGTGCGATTTCATCAATGGCTGGGACTGGTGGCGGTGGAGCCTTGTTGGATCGAGATCGAGTAGTGGGAATGGAACGAGGAATAGACTTGAACTTCTTTTGGTAAGGGTTTGGCCGCGGTTTCTTGGCGGCGCCTGACACAAGAGGATGGTTTTGTCGGTGGTGAGGCGGATGAGGCAAGACGGCACCAGCATTTCCTACGAGTGGACAACCAGTTCCTTCATGAGTGGTGCGACGGGGCGATTTCTTCGGTTTGCCTCTTTTGCGTTTGCTACCACGAGATCCAACGGTCGAGGCTACAGTGGAATGATCGTCATCCCCATCCTGTTCCTCGTCCCGCTCTGGTTCCATCAAAATTGGCGTGTCGTCTACTGGATCTTGAGGATCGTCTTGTGGTTCCGTGTCGAAATTGGTGATACATTCACCCGTTTCGCCAAAAGCTCGATCTTGTTTTTCCCAACGATCATCAAACGAATGAAGGGCGGCGGCACGGTTTGACTCTTGTTGCTCTTGGTGCGCCGATCGAAGTCTCATTTTCCGCGCTTGCTTTGGATCGGCTGGGAGCGGCGGTGGTGGATTTGCTGCCGCTGCGGCTGGAGGTCGAAGTTGGAGTAGGAGGCTGGCATTTTCGAATTGCGAGCAAGTGGGGTGGTTTTCCTTGTCGGAGTTGTCGTCTGGAGAATCGGCAGAGGACTGAGCGAGTTGCAAGGGAGAGCCATCTTCGCTTCCAGAGCCTTGGTCGTCTTCATCCTCGCTAGAATCGGATTGAGAGGGTAACATCAATTGCTCACTCTGATCGTCTTCAGCTGCGGCGGAAGAAGCTGAATTACTCTGCAAGGTGAGTGTACCAGTGGCTTGACTCCAGTGTACAGTTCCATGACTGTTGTGTTGAGTAAACTCCACAATCTCTTCGTCATCTTCGGCCCCATCAATTTCTTCCTGTACCGCCAACAATGCTCTTTCATTGCCATTGGCAGTGGCTTCTGCTATTGAGGCAATCTGGGAGAAGAGAGATCGACCAGTCCCTTGGAAGGACCCTTTGGAGCGAGTGGAGCGACCAGTTGACATGATGACCGACTAGTACAGAAGTACCGGTATTGACGCAAACGCAAAGACGACGTGAGTGAAGAGGACTTGACACCAACCGCACTACCACCACGCACGTACTCGGACTCTGACTAACCACTAAAGGCCAGTGACGTGAAGACGCGAAGACTCAAGAGGATCGAATCAAAGATTGACAGCTGTCGCGGAAGCGAAGACACCACTGTAGATGGCGTGACCTTTGACGGCAAGGCAATAGGAGCGGTAAAGGCGGCAATAGGAGCCACTAGTGACTCGGTGATAGTTGTGTGATGTTGTGGCTGCTCAATGGCGTCCGATGGAGGTTTGCTGCATCCGATCCAGGATCTGCACCAGTCAAATGGCGCCATTTGGGTGGCTTGAAACTCAAAATGTGAGCTAAAAAAATAATTACTTAGAAGTCTACAGCGTCAGTGGGTTCCAACATTAACACATCTCCGCTGGTTGAGTCTCGCTGTCACTTAGATCTCGCCAGGCCGGTCTCGCGCGTTCCGAGCCTTCGGCTCTCCTTTTCGCTCTCGCCCGTCCAGTCTCGCTCTAAGTGCCATCTCGCCTCTAAACCAGAGGAGACGTGTTCCTGTATAGAACCGTGCATGGAAGCCTCCATCCAACCGATTCAGTCACCTTCGTGAACCAATGAAGATCCACCGTGCGATCCTGCATTTTTATTGTTATCTTTCGATCGAAGATCGAAGACCGTTGGCGACTGGCGACGACCATGGTGCTCGGCATTCACAAAAAGAAGAGCACCTGACCATGAACAACAATCCTATTGTATCGCCAATGCAGCCGGTTGCGCCTCCAGCCAAGAAGATGAAGGGGTCTGGAGAGAACGTTGATAGGGAACATGCCACTGTAAGGAGGCGACGAGAGGAACTGGATCGACTCAAAGAGAAGCAACAGCAAAAGCGTTCCACGGGTGCCTCGGCAGGAATCCGCGGGCCAAGAGCAGCAGGCCCACCAAGAGGAGCCCCACCTCCTCCAAGGGTGGCGGTCGGAAATGGACCACCATTAGGAGGGCCTCCAAAACAAGCGGCCTCACCCGTCGCGAGGAAGTTGGAGTTTGCTAAAGGGAGATCGCCCGCGCCTCCCTCCTCTCGAGCCCGCAGTGCTCCTCCCACGAGACCTCCACCTCCTCCTGGCCCACCTCCCATGGCAAAAGAAGCTCCTGATTTCACGCCTTCCAAGCATCTGGCTCCTCCAACACCCTCCAGAGACAGGTCTCCAGGAAGAGCTCCTCCCACCACACCGGCCCGTGGCTTTGCTGCTCGACCGCCACCAACCACATTCGGCTCAAAACCCAAAGCTGCCCCTGGTGCTCCTCCTATCATGCCTGTCACACCAAGAGGAAAACCACCTTCCCCTGTCGTGACACGTCCAGTGGTGGCTCCGGTTCGACCTCCCTCGCCAACAGTTGTCAATTTGGGTTTACCCAAACCAGAAGCACTCAGCGACGGACCACCGAAGCCGACAAACATTCAACCAAGGGCTCCATCTCCGACCGTAATTAATTTTGCGCCTGCCCCCATGCCCATGGCTGATGGACCACCAAGGGATCCGTCTCCAGCAATGCTGAATGCAAAACCAGTCAGCGTCCTCGATGGACCACCCACAGCGCCGGAAATTGTCACAGTAGGAACAAAGTCAGAAATTTCAATGGCAAATGATGGACCGCTAAGCCTGGCACCAGAGTTGGTTGTCGAAAAAGAAGACACAGCATCAAAACCAATCGTTCCGATCCAGTCTAGGCGAAACATGATTCAAACTCTGGCTCTTGGGGCTGATACGCCGGCAAAGATCGTACCTCCAACATCAGATAACACGGCAATTTCAGACAGCCCGGCTGTCGCGGCCCCCGAAAGCAGCTTGTTGCGCCTCGAAAAAGAAGTGCGGGAACATGAAAAGGCCAAGGCGGATGCCCTGCGAAGAGTGGCTTTGTTGGAAGAACAGCTGCAGAAATTCAAAGAAAAAGGAGATGCCTCGGACCAGCTTGGAACGCTGCTCGCCATTGCGGATAGAGACGGAGACGCTTCTGCACTCCATTGGGCCAGGGCAAGTGCGTCAGGGGAGACACCCAAGGCAATGTCTCAGACAAGCTTTTTCTCTCCTTTGAGCCCAGGCCTCGCCACGCCCAGGGCTGGCAGCCACAAGCGTGCCCCAACTCCTCGTCCAAAACTAGACAAGGGTGACGGCAACGAACAATTGGGAGTAGATTTGTTTGGCGAGGCCGTGAAATGCACGCCTTTCGAGTTCACGACGGACCTTGCGACCTTCATAGTCAGGCGACCCCACGATATGGCTACTGAGCGTGAACTGTGGTTTACTTCGGGATATGCGAATGCAAAGAAGTATGCGCGACAGGCGGACGTGAGGAAGCCATACACGCTGGAAGTGGTTGCTATTGTCGCGGCCGATTCGAGTACACTAACTCTCAGCAGCAACAGCGATGTGCGCCACAACAATGTCGAGTCCGATGAATGGAAAGAGTTTGGAAATGTTGACAAGATGTTGAAACCACTCGGAACTGTCACGTACATTGATACTGATGCCGTGGAGAAAGATTATTCACTTGGTGAGAAGTGCAGGTCGGGAGTGTATGGTCTCCTGGTGCATTGTGTTGCTTCAATTGTCTAATTTTTTGTTTCGTTTTCAGATGAAATTTACGAAGGTGCTGTATCCGCAAGAGAGACCTACTGCACTTCTGTCATGTCGATGGCCCTCGGTCTAAAAGTGAGAGGACCCGCTGTGAACCAGGCGCCAGCCCCCAGTCCGGTCCCTCTCCCTACCAAGAAACCAGTGCAAACGTCAGAGATCGGCGTCAACACGGATGACTTGCCGATTCCTGCAGCTAGTCAGCCCGGAGCTCCAAAAGCACCCGAAGGATCTGGGGAACCCAAGCCGGAAATTCCTCCCTCGAAAGAACCGCAGCCACCTCCACCCGATATTGATGATGGCCCGGATACTGTGACGCTAGTCCTCGGTGCTTTTGTTTCATTGCTGCTGTGGACGGGGAAGACTGCCCTTATTACCTTCCCCATGAAGATCCTGCAGTCTTTGATATCTTTGCTTCTGTTCTGTCTCCTGGTTTCTCTCTTTTCCCTGCAAGTAGAGGATGGAGTGCCAATGGGGTCGACCCATTATTTCAGCAAGGGGGCTCTGTAGGCATTTTTGGGCGATACGATGGAGTTCTCGATGTTAGCAGGTGCCGTTTATTGTGGATTCGATTCAACGCTGTAGAAAACGGAAAAGTGAAGACAAAATTGAATGATTCGATTCAATCGGATGAACATAGTTCAGTGTTTGTGGTGTTCCATTTAGTGGCATCAGGTATCTGGTGTCACTCGAATCTTCTCAGCTACTAGCTAGTATTCCGGTATATAAGAAGTCTAAGAAATACTAGAAAAGCCTACACCAGAAGATCACATGCAAGTTGTCAACTCGGCTGTTACAGTTTTTTTAATTTTCCTCCTCATCGTCGGCATCAGCACCAATATCCACACCGTCTGGGTGCTCCTGTCGGAATTGTCTCACAAGTTCCATTTCATTGTAATGCCTCTTTCGATGCTCCCGGAATTCGAGCTTTCTCATTTCCTTTTGACGATCGTCGTCTTCGTCTGGAGGATCGCCACCGTGTGATGAAGGGCTCGAGGGAAAGGCATCCTGAACCGCAGCAACGCTGTCGAGCCGATTCTGGAGAGAATCCCAACTGAGAGTATTTTTCTGGGTGACGGGTGACTTGGCCCGCCGTGAATCGTCACTTTCCTGCCCTGAATCATAGTGAACATATGGTGTATTGGGTTCGTCAATCTTCATACGAGTTCCACGGAGCAGATCATGCTCTTCTATGGCCACTTCATCCCATTTCAACGCCTTCTTTGGTTTTTCACCACTTCGAGGATTCTTCTTCTTCAGGGCGGGCTTCACCTTTGTATCCGTCGGACTGTCGTGTCCGTCAAGCAATCCTGACTCATGGGCAGCCTTCTCCTCGACAGTGAGCTTTCGGTCCTCCTCAGAGTCTGCCATGGTGTACTCTGAGCTAGCAAGCAATTTTTGAGGTTCGCTTCACAAGGGAGGATCGCCACACCGACGACTTAGCAGCAGCCTCTTTTCCGAAGCCGGTTAAGCTGTCTAGCTACCGAAGGAATCAATGAGTTCTTGCAAGCTGCTCGCCTTTACATTGTAGACCTTACTGTAGCTTATTGTATGGGGACATATCGTATACAGCTGTAGCATGTGTAGGTGGTATCGATAAGCGCTTCAAGCTTCAAAAATTGATCCTACATGCACGGATTGAGCCATGAGCCATGATACGTACCGGTATGGGCTTGTACGCTACACCTGGACTACATGTATTTATCATCCTGGACATACGGTACCGGTACGGTACGGGTACCGCGACACACATCCCATGTGCAACTCGGAGGTTTCTTTTTTCCCCGTCATTATCTGGAGGGGTACATACCGCTAGCTTTAAGGAACGACCGAAAAACGAGCTGAGCGAAAGGGGCAGTGGAGGCACCATAGCTATCAACAACGGTTCCTTTCAATGCTAAACTTTTATTGATGCCTTGCTTACTTTGGCAACCTGGTTGGGTGAATTTCATCAATCCTTTTTCGTCGTTCTGTTCCAACGATGATTTTATCCACTTGCTGGAATTTACCCAATCAAAAGTAACTTTCAAGAGCTTTTGAGCAGACTTCGAGCAGACAGTGCAATAGACGAGGAGAAGTCTGCTGAGTTTAGCTTACTCATTGATAGAAAGGAAGGCAATGCACGCAGAGCACAAGTGCATGACATTTATATAGCGGCAGTACTGTGCATACCCGAGTACGAACATGCAATTCAATTTTTATGGAACCCTTGAAGCAGTGCAAGAAGTTTCTATTATTCACGAACATGTAAAAGCCAGCACCAGTGGCGAGATCCCCAAACATAGTCTCTTCGCGTCTGTTTGTTCGTATTATTGCTTCGAACTTTTTCCAGCTATTGCCATTACTTTTGGAGGTCTATAGAACTAAGTCCGAATCTCAAGTTGCATTCACAATGTCCTGCAGTGGTTTATCGGGTATAATATTGATTTGGTATTGATTCCAAGACGAATTGGCGTGTGTCATCCAAGTTAGAATTCATCTGATGCAAGATGCTCTGTATCTTGGACTCGCTTTATGAACTCGTCTTTCTCAATGCATCCTTTGCATTCCACACCTCGGTCAGCCAAAATTTTCTTGAGTTGTTTCACACGCAATTTTGTCAAATCTTTCTTCTCAAGCTTTTCAGTCTTCAATGGGAATTTCACGGTGCAAATTTCCGCGTTATCTTTGTTGATTCTCTGGCAGACCTTCAGGGACTTCATGCCCAAGGAGTAAGGGTGTGCGACATCACGCTTAATGGGATCGATGTAGTAGCAAATCTTCTTTTCTCGTGATCCCAGATTCTCCTTGGCACAATAATCCCCAATTGCTGCTTCAATTTTTGGCTTCTTTCGGGAATCCTCTTTGCTAAGGGTAGCACGAACATCGTCCATGACCTTGACGCAAACTGAATTTCGTGAGGGCAAGGGTGGCAAGAACCAAAACAGTTAGAATCCAGGCATCGAAATCTCAATGACCGGGTGCTGCAACAACAACAAATACTGCTGCGTGCATACCTTCACATTCCTTTGGGTCGGCAGCACCTAACACCGAGGAGGAGTAAAGAAAGAAGAGGAGTACTGTTGCGAAGCCTCTCATTGTGCCTGTTGGTTGTCTCTTTCTTCAATGGGTTGTGAAGAAACAAAATGAACAAGACAGGATACTAGCTGCTTCCAATGACCAAATCCACGGTCTGCGAGACATGGCCTCCAATACCGTACTCTTCCAAGTGGCAAAATTGGATGGCGACGGCCAGAAGAGGCATGTCGAAACAAATCGAAGCACAAGTGTACATGCAGCCAGCAAAGCTGCCAGTACAATCGTACGAGACTGAGCCTTACCGGTACTAGCTATCGTAGCTCAAAAATGAAAATCACTTGGTAAGAACGGTCCAACTCGATCATCCCAGGGATGGAAGTGCAATGGCATAATACATCGTAGAAGCATTATTGGGCTAGCTAGGTGCAGGGATAAGAGGGGTTTTCTGCATTATAAATACATGCTCAAAAGATGAGGCAACTGCGTCTTCTTGTCTTGCTTGATCTCTCCGTACTCGTCGTTCCATTCCCAGACTCGTGCCAGCTCTCGGCCTTTCTCAGAAACACTGCGCTTCAGCTTCGCCAAGGCATTTTCAAAGTCGTCCATATTCACAGGACGAAGTCTTTGCGACGAGCCTTGAAGGGCATCATTTGAGGACGGACCTTGATCCAGTAATTTTGCCTGTTCGTGACTTATTTGGACAACGGCTTCCCTGCAAACTTCTTTCAAGTCAGACCCCGTATATCCTTGCAGCCGCTCTGCAATAGCAGTTAGGTTGACATCTGGCGCAAGCCTGTTTTCTGCTAAAGTCACTTCCAGTATCTCTTTTCGCGTCTGCAGGTCGGGCAAATCAACCAGGATTCGACGAGGGAACCGTCTAAGCACTGCCTCGTCAAGGTCGAAAGGCCTATTCGTAGATCCAATCACAACGACCCGATCAGATCCTGCCTCACCGCTGCCATTCGTACCAGAGTTCAGCCCGTCCCACTCGCTCATCATGGTCGTCTTCACACTCGTCAACGTGCCATGCGCTGAATCATCGGATGTTCCCTCGCGTGACGACAAGAGCTACGGTACACAAAGGGTGATGAGTACAGCAGCCAGAGTCAAACAAACAAAAACAGCGAGCAATGCAATTACAAACTCACAGAGTCAACCTCATCGATGAAAATCACGCAGGGGGCCAATCGACGAGCCAGGGTAAAAACTGCTTTCGCGTTCTTTTCGGATTCACCAAGCCACTTGTTTTCGACGGAAGAGGCATCAACGCTTAGGAAGCTCGCCCCTCCTTCTGTTGCAACTGCTTTCGCCAGCATGGTTTTACCAGTCCCTAAACAGCAGAAGCAGAGATTTTGTTAGAACGAAGATGAAACGAAGTAAAGTAGAAAATCTAGGTCATACCAGGAGGTCCAAAGAGCAGAACTCCCTTCACCGCTTCTCTTGCGATGCCCTCGCTATAAAGATGAGGAAACTTCAACGGATAAGTGATGCTTTGGCGCAACAGTTCTTTCACTTCAGAAAGGCCTCCGATCATATCATAAGTCACTCCAATGTCCTGTGGCGACACAACCTGAGATATTAGCGCACGTTCGTGTTTGTCTTGGGCCAAAGCTGCGATTTCTTCTCTGGTCCGATGGGAAGCGGGTGAACTGTTCACGGAGAGACCACCCGACGGCGATGGCCTGACACGACATGAAAAAGTCAAGGCAGTCTCAAGACTTGACGGGTGCAAGTATCGAAGAGATGAGGCTGACTTAGCAATACTCTCAACTCCGTCCCTGTCAACGAGTAATTGCTCAAGAGTTACATCAACTCCCAGCTCTGCGGTTTCCTCGCTCGGTGTTTCGTGGCGATTTACAAAACGCTGTGCCTTGCCCGCCTCCAGCTCGACAGCGCACTTGATTACCTCGTCCATTTCTTCTGTGATGTCACGAACACTCAACATCTGACGCAGCGATGACCCAGCTCCTCTAGTCCCTGTTCGTTGCTGCAACGAAAGGTTGTGCTTCCACAGTTCCTCATTCAATGCTTTTCGGTTGCGCCGGAATATGTAGGAGCCGCGTTCTCGTGCAAGCCATGCCTCCCAGCTTTTGCCTCGAACCGGGTCAGAAGGGGCACTGATTGGAATCGGACGGCATGTGTTTTCGAGCTCTTCCCTATTTCTCGCTTCTTTGGTTTCTGTGCTTGATTCTCCGCCCTTCTGGTCTTTTGCATTGTTCGCTGCCATTACAGCATGGTATGCAGCCATTGTACGGGCTCGTTTTTGTTTCGACTTTTTTCTCCGCTCTGCTGCATCCTCGCCACCTTCAAGCGAGGCAGCTGCGGCCTCCTGGTTTTGGAGCATCTTTTGGAACCAACCACCAACGTTTGATTGTGGCTTTCCATTGACGCTGTTGCCATAAGGTCTTCCATTTCTGGGTGGGGGTACGTAAACACTAAGCATTACACCCTGGCACTTTGGGTCAGAGAGCGCCGGGGCGGCCTTTGCAAGATTGTCCGCAATGCCTCTGCGTATATTCTCGTTGCGCAAGACCTGGGCAAAGGCTTTATGGAGGTCTTCCGACAGCTCCTGCGGTGATGCCGGAGGCGATTTGTCGTCGCTCATTTCCGCCAACCGGTCTAACAGCTCAGACAGGGCATGCTCCAGCGTGTGTTGCATTACTTCTCTCGGGAGTGGCTTGTTGTTTGGTAAACTCCCTTCTCCGCTCGGTGGTGCTAGACTTGCATTGAAGAACTGAGGGGCGGGAATATTGTTGTTTTGAGCATTTCGATTGTTCTGCTGGATCTGTTGCAAGAGCGAGTTAGAAAACCGTTCCAACTCGTCTCTGGCGGGAGAGTCCATCGGTTGATGCTGCAGTCTCTCTTTGGCCTGCATGGCCATCATTAGAGGGAACAGATTGCCAGCCTCCGGTGGCGCAATGGCACCAAGAATTCCTGGCCCATTGGTGCCTTGCGTTCTTGCCAGAAAAATGTTGAAACGACGCGACCCTTCTGGATCATTTTGACCCGATGCATTCTGATTCGACGGTGCAAAACTCATCCACGGTGCTGCGTTTGGAGGGTGGTCTCCGTTGAATCCATCTCTGTTCACGGCTCCGTTCATGTGGCCGAAAGCGTCATGTGGATTGTCCTGGACCAATGCAAGAGCCGCAGAGTCAATTCCACTTCCCAATACAACCAGATTTACGCTATCGTCGGCATTGCACTCGTCCAGCAAAACATTGACTGCTGATTTGCTCTTGAAAAGCAGCTGTGAGGCATCTGTCCGTACAAATATAACCAGCGGAAGGTTGTTTTCTTCTGCTTCCTCCGTAGATTCAGCCAAAGTGTGCCATTTTTCCTCCCACGCCGTCATATCCTCAAAACTCGACGTCGCTCTGTCATCGTAAGGATCATCCAAGCCTGCGGCGATGTCACGCTTCATTGCGACGGCAATGGACCCCCCTACCCTGCCAGTCAGAGCCCCTGCTCTGGCCGATTTTAGCAAGGCACGCAAAAGATTGGCAGTCCTGACATCTTCTTTCGTGCCACCTCCATCGAGGACTTCCTGGCGGACGGACTTGATTACTTCGTCATCCAGGATCACCATGGCAGCTCCTAGGGAATGTGCCTGCAGCATACAATTATTTTTCAATGGTTTGATTCGATTCGATTCAACAGCGACAGGAGAAAGTGAGCTATGTTTGATTTCTGAACAAGAGCAGGGCAACATACTGCTTCCGACGTACCAATGCCATGGTCATTGTTTCTTGCATTCCCAGTGTGCATGATTTTCCCACTTCCTGCTCGTGCAACCTGATAGCATTGGGCCTTGGAAAAGATTTTCGCCATTGAGGTTGTGTGGCCAGGGACAAAGCTGATTGCAAGGACCGTGAAGTTTCGGCATCAAGAAATTTGCGATTGGAAGCATTTTTGTTCATCCATTCGAGGAGGAGACACGAGTACAGTGTCCTTCGATCCAAGCGTGACTTTGAAGAGGCATCAATTAGCCTTGCCTTTTTGAGCAGGTGTTCCAGCGCCTCTGCGCTGGGTGGCAAATAAACGCGAGGCATCCATGCATCAAGGATATCAGCATCTTCTAGGGACGCACTGGTCTCGGGTGTTTGTTTATTGTCAGTATCTCTCCATCCTTTGTTGTTTCTGGATTTTCGTCTGCCAATCTTTTTGCCAAGTCTGGCCACGCCTCCTCCTCCCGTAGGTTCAGCCATATTTCTGGGTGGTTGTTTCTCGTTCTCGATAGTGTCCATGATTGCCTCTTCTTCCTCCAATTCAAAGTCGTTATCAACAACTTCGACTTCCATATGCAGTTGCGAAGAAGGATCCAATGGCATGTCTGCCTCTTCCATCAGTTCCCATTCGTCCCATTCTTCGCTGGAGTCCTCAGCTCCCGAGTCATCGTCGTCGTCATCATCGGAATCACCATCCGGGTCTCCCACAGCATTTTCTTTCTTGCTGTCTTTGCTGAGCGTCTTGACACTGGTACCAGTACCCGATGAAGCAGATGAGTCGGGTTTCGCAGAAATATCATTATCGTCCGCCACCAGTGGTTTGCTTTCGTCATCTTGATCATCGACGGGGGTATCAGCGTGATCGTTATCTCCGCCTCTCACCAAGACACTGCCATTATTGACCCAGCCATTGCTGTTGCTATTCTGGCTCTTGACACCACCAATATTAGCAGGAAACAACCAGGGTATCCGTGGTCTATTACGAGTGCCACGTGGAGAAAACTGTTTTAAACGCTGGCCAAAAATCCCAGCCGAAACTAATTGTGGGGTATCCAGCTGCCACAAGACAGACAGGACAAGTACCCAACAGAGCCTGAACATATGCATTACGGTGGATGTTTGTCTTGATATTGTCTTGGTGAGCCTCAATCGTTTGGTGGCTTGGTGAAAAAGAATGCTCAATTGACAGAATTTCGAGTTTGTGCGACGAATGTTTGAGATCCAGAAAGAAGCAAGAATTTAAGTGATTGAGGATTTCAATCCCTCTCGGGAATAAAGTCTACTGTTTTCGCAACAAAACCGATTTTCAAGGGGCGACCATAATAACACAGGCCGAGAGTGGACCAATCTAGTCCATAGAGACAATGCCGCGACGAGGAGCCGCCACCAAGGCGACGAAGACATCGATGGACTCAGAGGAAGATGTTCCTTTGGCGCCCAAGCGAAGCAATCCTCAGAAACCAGGTTCACTATCTTTGGAATCGGAAGCCTCAGCGGCGTCGGAGGCAAAGGTATCAGTGGAAGAACGCTTTGAAAATGAGAGCTACAACATGAAAGTCAAGCACTGGAAAGACTCGCCATTTGCTGTGGGATTAACAGAAGTTACTTGGGCTGACGAAAAGCTGCGCAATGGCAACTCCAACTCGGACGATCAAAGCCTCGACAGTGCCAACTGCCTCTGCTTTTCTTCCGCCGTTTGCCCCCATGTACCAGGTGTCGTGCGAGTGGGAAACATGTCTGTGTTGAAACAATCTACCTACTCGATCGATGCAGAAGAAGAAGACGAAGAGACGGGTGAGATCAGAGTTGTCAGAGTCATCAGACCGAAATTAGATATTGTGGTGGGGCCATATTGGCCCATGCTCTGCCTTGTGACATACCCGCTGATTCTTGGAATATCAGGATGGTCATTGCTCAGGGCGGTACCAGGAAAACCATTCTACCTTCAATTGGCTTGGTTGACTGGTACGATTGGGCTTATTGGTAAGAATGTGGACATTGGGTTAATTCAATTCTGTTGCTATTGCATTACATGGCTAAATTGGTGTCGCTCAATGTTCAATAATTATTGATACATGTACATGCATAGTGTCCCTCGCATTGACTGCCTGCCGAGACCCAGGAATCATGTACAGGCGACATGCCCCGCCCAAGCGAACACAAACATGGCGCTGGTCAGATCAAGCGCAAACATACCGACCCCGTGGAGCAATCTACGATCCCGATACGGCAGTGGTGGTCGAAGGCTTCGACCATACTTGCCCATGGACAGGCACTGCAATTGGTCGCAAAAATATGCTTTCGTTCCAGTTCTTTGTATGCCTTGTCTTTGTTATGATGGTATTCAACATTCTCCTCCTGACCAAGTCCTTGGGCAAATAATGAAAGGCTGCCGTCGAGGCTGTTGAACAGAAAAAGTAACTAAACCGGTGTACGTAGTACGGTAGGAGTGAAGTCGATCACTGCAGGCTTGTATATACATGTATTGACTTTAGCTAGCTAGCAGGTGGATTTGAGAGGGTTCCTATTACACTTTTACTCCAGCTCTAGCCAGATCAGTTTGTAGTACTGGTAGATTCGATAGACCCTACATACCGTACATGACGGACACCGCCCTTTCCAATGGCGATCAGGTGATGGATGGTATTTTTGAAAACGTAAACCTTGTTGCTCTCATTCATCGTACCGTGTCTCTTCTCACATCCTGTAGTGCTTATGGTAGACTATGCACGACGAAGAAGGAACAGAAGGTCGCCGACTTCTTCACGAAGTCCAACGACAATAGGACGAGTAGAGCGGCTGTGGCGAAGTTCCGAAACAAAACCTCCCACAGCAAAGTACTCCTCCTCCTCTTCCAAGAAGAACAAGGCTTCTAACATGGAGGCTCGATCTGTGGGTTCTATACATCATTCTTCTTGTTTCTTATCTTTTCAACTGAAGCAGGTTGATTATTGAATGTCTTCAGTTGAAGATGCACCGCTCCTATCAGGATTGGAAGCATGCTGACATCCTTGATTGTTGAACAACTCATTGCCCCTCACAATCTCACACACCCTCAGACATCTTCCTGGCTGTTTGACCTGTTGCTTTGTCATGGATCGATTCGGCCTCCATCGGAGTATGCTCTCCCGTTGCGATTCAAATTGATCCTTGGGTTGTGGCTTCGTAGTTATGTCTGCAAGCTGGTGCCAGCTCTTGTAGTGTGATCTTCTTGGCCCTTATAACATAATTCCAGAAGCGATGCAGCTTTGACATAGATATGCTTCGTTCTGGGAGAATCTTCGGTAACTCCGCCATCTCGACTGCACGCTGCGCCGCTGTTGTGTTCGCAGACGTTACAGTGCACAAGTTGTGGCTTTACATGCATTCTCCACTGTAGATATGACCTTTGCTCATCTATCAACGACGTCGTTTAATATGCATCGTCATCGACTGGCTCCGACTCCTCGTTGACAGCAAGAAGACCATTGTAACCTGGCGTTCAATCGTAAGAACTGTATACCGGTATTGTGGTGGAGCACCAAAACCAGTGGGAAAGTGCAACGAACACCTAGATTGGTGGCAAGATGGAAACGACTTGTCGGAAACTAGTGTGTTGCCGAGATCTGAGGTGTGAACCGTCCACATTGTGGTGGATGCAAATGACGCGCTCAGTACTTCCATTCATGTTGTCGTTGTGACAACAAGTATTTCGTGTATGGCAGATATTCTGGAAATGAAATGCTGGCCAACATGACATGTAAGCATTTGCGACTCGTAGATGTTTGATTAGAAAGTCCGCTGTAGAAGAAAACAAGACATTGGGAACTCATCCTCTTCGCTTCCAGGCAATGCTATGTTTTGTGAGGAACCACTGCACCAACGTGGTCGATCCTCTTTCGCTCGCTCAACACGTATGGTTGGCAGTGGCATTCTCTTTTACACACTAACTAGTTAGCATCGGATGGGAGCTTGCTGTTAGACCTCATCGTGTCAACGATACCGGTTGGGGAGGCATAGTCTGGCAATTCGTCTCAGGGCTGTTCCAGCTTCTTCTTTTCGTCAACGTGCATACGCTTGAAGTCTATGCAACGAGCTGATATCGGTGTGAGCTTATCAGTGCCCGCTGTCTTTGCGTCTGGAGTTTCAGGAATTGTCGCGTTGGTACCTTTGGCGGCATTTTCTGGTGTCCCCTTTTGTCCTGCTTCTTCTGTTTCGGCCCAGGTCATTGTCTTCAACACAGAACCCAACCGTGTTCGTTTCAACTCGCGTGGATCCAGTGGTGACCCGGCCATTTCGCGTTCAGTGAATTTGGACTGTCCTCCCGGACTCTCTTCCTCGGCCCCGCCCTGTTTGGAGTCACGAGAAACATTGCTTTTCTCTGGGACTTCACTAGACTTTCGCTTGGGCGATGAGCGAGGTATGGATGGACGCTTTGCAATCTGTTGTGGAGCGGCACTCATTTCACGCGTTGACACGTCACTGTTGGACGTCTGCAGCCTATCAGTGCCATTGTTGTTTCGAGATTGGAATTCTGTCATTGCCATGGCTGCCAAGAGGAGTGAGTTAACATTCCCATTTGATTCGTCCTCGGCGGCAGCAGCAGAAGAGTTTTGTTTCGCAGATGCGTCCTCGTTTCTCTCGTCTGGAGATGTGTCTGAGGAGGACGCAGCAAGCGACGGCATAGAGGCAACATCAGCACTATTATCATGCATCGCAGCAACAGGTCTTTCGGCCACTGGCGATCCATGTTTGAGATAAGCCTTAAAAACACAGTTCCATGTAGCAGCAAGTGGGTGAGTCCAAGAGTCCGAATCGAATCCAGCGAAGGTACCGATACCCATGCATCCCACCGCACTGGTGACTTACCAAGTTGTGTGCAGCATGCATCATCCATGGCTCTCGCCCACTTCTTCGGGCTTGCGGCGCCATCGACAAATCGTAATTTGGTAGGAGCATGCCAGCATTGCTGGGTTTGTCTGAACCAAAACCACCGGATATTGTGTTTTTGCACCCAATACAGCGACAGTTGGGGCTACATTTGACATTTCCTGCGTAGCATTCGCAGTACTTTGGAAAGTAAACAAGAGACGTACATTCAAATCATTAGGCAGAGCCACAGGAGTTTCATCGTCGCCACCATTCATTCTTACCTTTTTCATGCAAGCACTTTTTCTGCATTTGCAGCCAAGTTTGTGGGCCAGCACTAGCTTTTGTTCTTGAGCCGTTTGGCGTTCTTTTGTTTTCAAGAACTTGGTGTCGAAAGCAGCAGGGTTCCTCGATAGTATAATGCGCATTGCCTCTTTTCTTTGTTTCTCGTGTTTTGTTGTGTTGAAGCAAACCAGGCAGCGGCAATTGGAACCGCAATATATCTGCAAAAACAGAAGAGTAAGAGGAGCGCATAGATTTGCTGGGTGTTAATTCAAGAAGCGCATCACTCAATCAATCAAACCTGGCACCTTGTTACCGTACCTTGACAGCAAAGCATTGACAATACAGTTTCAAGCATTTTGTCTTTTTGCATGTACATCCCATATTAGTGACTTCGTCTCGGTGTGAGCTCTCAATCTGAGTAGGAGACACTGCCACTTCCCGAGCAACCCCCTCAGCACTTGCTCCTACTGTAGCAATCTCTGAAGGTGGTGGTGCATGTTCATGAGCGGGTAAGCGAGGAGGATTTTCGTCGAGCCGATTGTTGCTTGGGTAGACCGGTTGGGGGTATGGGTATGGCATGTGAGATGGAGGAGGTGGAAAACTTTGACTCGTGGTCAATTTGTTGTAGTGTTGGTCGTATCCCGGGTAAACATGGGGTGGCGGCGGTGGTGGCTGACCATGGGAAACTTCTGGCGGCGGTCCAAGCCATCGACGGTCGTCAGGATGAGGGGGGTAGTAAGCAGCATGTGGAGGCGGGTGATAATAAGCGGCATGCGGAGGCGGGTGGTGGGGAGGCGGATGCCCATGGGAATAGTCCGTTTCGTGAGCTCTGACCGGAATTGGTCTGTGATACTCATGGTGCGGCGGTGGATGATACAGAGTAGGAGCGTGTGATGGAGGGAATGGGGGTTGCGGCACTTGCTGGTTTGTCGGGGCTTGGGGTCCTTGTTCATTCGTCGCATGAGTTGCAGTGGGCCGAAAGGCTGATTCCACTGGTCTTTCCACCTCGTCAGAGGTATCGTTGTTGTCATCGTTGCTGGTGTCGTTGGGTTCCGCCGTCGCCATGGTCCTGCGGCTGTCCTACTAATATCCAACTACACAACCCCTTGACAGCAGAGGCATGCAGCTCAGGAGCTCCTCTTGATCGATCGAGATGTTTAGCCACGACGGAGCTCTTCTCGCGTTTTCGGTTGAGGGTGGCTGGGTGGAGAAATAAACAAAGAAAGGATGTTAAACAATACCCTGGTGTGCGAGCAAAGCAATGTTTCAAGACGTCTTGAACACCAACCAACGAACCAGCATCTGAGGAAACCTCTTCGAAATTTGAGTTTGAAATTTGAATGTCTCAGCCATCAGGGATTGGGCTAGGATACGGATTCCAGTTGAACCAAACCGTGACTTCCAGCAGCTCTTCCAGCTTCTTCATTGTACCTTGTGCGTGATGCATGGATGCATGCATTATGCATCACGAGCTCACATGACAGTAGCGCACAGAAAAGTGGAGCCTTGGAGGTATGCCAGCCACTGCGTCCTGAGCCACTAATAAGGACATTGCTAAAGTAGCTAGCTACCGGTACTAGCTAGTAGTAGAGAATTACCCTTGATGCATGGACCCAGGCCAAGCATTCAATCAGTGCCACACTGAAGGTGAAGAACTGAGTCACCATGAGGCCCAACTGTGTGATTTTAGTGCACAGGCGACGACAATATGCATGATGAACACAAAATCTAATAGTTAATACATCTTTGCGGCAGATTGAAGAGCCACATCTGAAGACTTTTCTGCTAGCGAACCACTAAAGTTGGTTTCTCGGTTGCCTCCATCCTCTTGGAGCCCTCCTGCCTGTCGGTTGCTTGGGACAAGACAAACTTTGGAAAGATGCGCTTGTAGAGAGGAAGGCATACTGTGTCGTGTTGCTTGATGGGGGCATTGAATAAGCATTTCATTGTCCCGTGGTCTCCGACACTCTCGACGATGTTTCCATTGAGACCATGCTTTGTCCATAATCCGGCCGGTCGGAACCATTTAACGTCGTCGGGGTTGTAGAACATGTACTTCACTGTTGCGTGGCGCTTGTGGACACGAACCGGGTAACCCGTCAATATAACTCTCTTGACGACAATTCGGTCCGCGTCGGCGCCAATCATAGATCCAATTGCGCACAACTCTTGCGGCTTGTCCTCTTGCTTTCGAAAGACAAGGACAGGACACGGCGTATACGTAACTGGCCCAAAGAATGTAGCGGCGAAAAAAGCGCCTTGCAATGGCATAAATCGTTCGAACTTGTGCTTGTTGCAGTTGAGGTTGTTCTGGCTGAACACTGGTCTGGTCTCCCAAGTTCGCCATCCGCATCGGATTGTCAGTTTATCCTTGCTCTTTACCGGGAACTCGTTGTCAATGTTGCAACCGCTAGAATGGCTTAGTCCTGCATGTAGGACGGAAACCTTGTTTTCGTGTGGGAGAAGTGCTACTGCAACCAGTACTGAGTCCACAGGGAGACTGTTCGCGGCGTTTGCATCAACCCCGTTGAGCGTGATGGTTACATACGCACCAGAGGGCACACAATCGCTGAACAAGTCCTCGCTGCCGGAGTCATCTTCGTCCATACTATTTGTTTGAGGAGATTCACCGTTCCATTCCTCGGCATCAGCTGCAAGATCTTCCATTTCTTGCATCACAGATCTTTGAGTCGCTTTAAAGTTCGCAAAATGGAACACATTGGCGTAGGACTCAGGTAGGTTTTCCTTGGGATCCCAGTATGATTTTCGAAAGCTCTTTAAGGACCGGTAGCGAGCGAATCGGTCCATCGCCTTTTCATCTTCGCCAACGTCTACTTCGTCGGGGAATTCGTTATGCTCATTCTGTTCTTTTGTTCGTTTCTCTTTCAGCAAGAGTCTCTCTGCATCTGAGATTTCGTTGGCATCGTCAATGTCCATTCCGCCTACGGTAGAATTGGAAGACGATTTCTTTTTGTTGAGTTCTTCTGCAAGTTCGCCAGCGTCGAATTCAGCTCCCACGTCATCGACAGCATCCAACCAGGCACTCTGGTAGTCTGACCATCCCGCAGGTCTCGAAAACTTTTTATCTGCCGTGTCTTCAGGTGCATTCATCGCTTCATCGCCAAAATCGCCCTCTTCGTCGAATCCGACCAAGTTTTGCTCTCCTTCGAGAGCATCAGGGCTGGCGAACATATCCAGACTTTCTTGTTTGTTAGGATCTGAAGTCAGAACTGCCACCATGCCGGAATCAGTGGTGTGCTTTCGACGAGACAGGAGAGGCTCGATTCTTTCGATCTTTTTGCATCCGTAAGTGCCAACATTGGGCACATGAAGCAACGAATTAACTGACAGGGGGATCTTCCCCCGAATGTAACCAGAGATTTTCAGTTCTCTGTTTGCTGCGTCGAAATGAACAGAATCTGACAACACAAATGGCCTCGGAGACTCCATGACCCATTTCGATGGCGCGGCAGCCTTGGTGCATAGAGCTCTGACTAGAGCAGCAATATCCGCTTCGGGGTTCGATACAAAACCTTCCTCCTGGTTCTCTGCCTCCATACCGCCATGCAAATTGGAGACGTCGACGTCCATGACAGTGTCTTTGTCAGGTCCAAATTCTGCCAGGGCAAACCTGCTGGCGTACTTTCTTAGACTTTGCAATCGTTTTGTTTTGGAGCGTCTGGCGCTCTTGACGCTTTTGACGCTCATCATGTCGTCAGCACCTGCATCCTCATCGTCTGTAATTGCGAGAACAGTCAAAAGAGATGGTAAACCTTGGCTCTTGACGGCGTGCAAAATGCGATCGCCCCTATCACTGATCAAATGGTCCCAATGATTGAGTCCTTGGTTGTTGGATGATGCGGACTTGAAAGTCTTAGCAGAGGGGTCATCATTACCGCCAATTTGGATATCCACGACATTATCCATGACCGAAGCGTGTGTATCAATGACAAAGACAATCATGTCGCAAACACGGCATAGATCCAGTGCGGATTGAACAGCAGCATCATTTTCTGCAAAATCCTTGTCGTATTGGGCTCGAAACGAGGTAGAATTTGTCAGAAAAGTCAAAGCACCGTCCTTCTTGTGAACTCCGAATTTTGTAGTGACAGTAGCATTTGTCCTGCCAGGCAGGGTTTCTCCTTTCTCAAGCAGAGAATTCCTTAGCTTCTCTTCAATTTCTTCTGAGGCTCCCAAGCTGATTATTCCCACTACCCGTGGAGGAGCTGGGCCACCAGACACTCCTCGTTTCCTTCGAAGCAATTCTGCCCTTTTGGAATCACGTTTCTGCTGAAGCCGATTGGCCCTGTCTGCTTTCGATCTCGCAAAAAGCGCAGCACTTTGTCCACTTCGAGTACGTGCATTCACTTTGCCACCTGCAGCCCGGGAAAGGCTGCGCTTCGAAGACGTTGATCGCTTGTTTTTCTTGTTCTGCTGGCGAAGAGTACCGGAACGATGGTGATGTCCTGGCATGGTGATTTTGTTTCCTTGTGTAACACTAGCTAGCTAGCTCCTTGGCAGTAATCTGAGACGCTCAAGGTTTGTGAAAGACCAGGCGAAAGAAAAAGTAAATGACAAGAGCTATGAAAAAGAAACTGAAACAAAAGAATGGGGTCGGGGGCAAAGATTCTTTGGGTGGTGGTGGTTCAATCCCGTCCGTTCGATCCGTGAACCAGGCTCTTCAAGACCATCTACTCCTGAAATTGACGCCCCATTTGCATAGTTGCTAAATCCACTTTGTAGGGTCTCCAAATCCCCTTGGCATGTACCGGTACCCCCAGGCGCTACAGATAAGGGCTGGAGGCCATGGTTCCCTTGGGTCGAGGTCGGACAAAGCTTCATCAAAGAGTACGCATGCAGCAACAACAGTCTTCCATTATATAGAGTAGCATACACCGGTATTGGTTATCCCCGTGGATTTTGGAGAACTAGCTAGTACCGGTATCGTAACAGGCACACATGAGGTCGCTACATACTTTAGGCTCGAGCTCTTATACCAGAATAAATCTCTACTAAACGCATTTTGATTCTAGCTAGGTGTATGGTGCCTACAGAGAAACAGTTTGTTGCGTCGGTTGTTGTGAAGTTGCCGCTCCCTGTGCTGCTGCCAAAGGTTGTTCTGGCAAGGGCACACCAGTTGCCCAAACAGCTCCCTGGGTTTGCGTATTCTGATTTCCTGTTTCGTTCGTAGGATCAAAAAGTGTGACGAAGTCCATGTCAAGATCGTCCACAACATTGGTGTTGGCAGCGTTCGCGTTCCAATTAGTGCCATCCATTTCAGAGCTTGCGGGGGGTGGCGCCAACACAAGGGCAGGGGGAGGCTGTAGTCCCAGTGACGGTGTTCCATTGCTGACAGGCTGTGTGAGACTTGCACTTCGTACTGCTAGAGAACCTGCATGGCTTTCATCGCCTACTAAATCCTCCTTGACCAAAAGTGGCTGGGCAGAACGAATGGCAGGCACTTGATAAAGTGCAGGTGGGTTGGCACCATTGTTGGCATGGAGTCTATTGTCAGTCATGAGGATCCCAAGGCCAGTCTGAGGAGCAGCCCCAGTGGCAATAATCAATGGTGGATGGGAAGGGGATCCACTGCGAAAATGAGCCAGCCGTTGTTGCTCTGGTGCATTAGAATGGCCCGGTCTAAGAATAGCAAATGACGTGAGAAGAAACGTTCGAGCGCAGAGGAATCATTCCACTTCGATGATGATAGCGTACCTTCCCATGATCGGTGCAGTCAGTGTTGTGGGGGCGCTTTGGCTCGTGATGGCTGGTTCCAGAGCATAAACCCCCGGACTTGAATCAGGCGTCAGTAGCGGCGACGATGTACTAGAACCACCCGATCTCCCTGCAGACCGTGGACTGGGTCGTAGTTGTGGTGATCCGCCACTGCCGTTTTGTTTGGATCGTTTCATTTGCAAACATCGATCCGGATCGTCTCTGTGGAACATTTCATGTCGATACGCTCCTGCATCAGGTCCTTTGGTAATTCTCCGAAAGCCATATAGATTGAGTTGTCTCTGGAAGGATGTGAGCTTGGTGTGCCGGAAATATCGGGGCAGCACATCAGCAATGAATCTATCAGGGTCCCTAACAGAGAAGGCATTGCCCTTTGGGAGCCATGACACCACAGCCGGGTCTTCCTTTCGAAGCATTGCCATGAGTTTTCGTGGAAAAGGGTTTGCATTTCCTCCCGGTGACGCAGCCGATAAGGCCGGAGATGCAGAACTGTTGCTACCAGAAGAAGAATTTCTTGTAACCCGTCGAATGCCAGGGTCCCCTACAGTATCGGTACCACTTGTTGCTGCAGTGATGATAGAAGATGCAGACGAAGTTGTGGGTTGCACTTTAATCACACCAGCAGCAATGGAACAGTCCACTGGAACCAGCACCACTCCAGACCCCACGGAACCATAGGCGGCATTGGGATCGGAACCAGCACCAGCTTCTGGGTTTGACCCTTGTATTGCATTCTCGAAATTTTCTCTGAGCGACTGCTGGTTTCGAGCATTGTTGGCAGCACGAAAGCCAGCAAGATACATGGCTCGTAGCTGTGCCTGCATCTCGTCCGCCGATTCTGCCGGTGCTGCCGTACCATCGGTAGAAGGTGCTGAAATGCTGGCCAAAGCTGCATCCATCGAGTCCTTGAGATCTGAAAAATCGAACGCGGGAAGGTTGGCTGGAGGGGAAGAGGATGTACGATTAAGGGGAGCCATTGAGGCAGGTGTCGTTACGACTTGCATTGATCCTGCTGCAGTCGGCACGGCAGTGGCCGAAAAGTTGGCAGAACCAGAGAGAACAGGAACCTGGGTTGGAGCAGTCGCCATATTTGTGCCGTTTGGATCAGCTGTCATTCCTGCCTCAACATCCACAGCATTGACTGCCTTTCCCTCGGCTGTGCCACTCGCTGTGCCCTGGTTGTTGGACGGATGGTATGCCATGGCGTTGCGTTTTTTTGCTCAGACTTGACCTCCATCTCTTTTGGCTTCTGTTCAACTTTGGCTTCTTTTCTTCTCCCTTCGGAAGGGGAAGAAGAGGAAGGAAGTTTTGAACAAATTCTGAACCCCAACCCTACTTGCAGTCTCACAACCCCAGCGCTAAAATGAAGGTGATCCAGTCGTAGTCCAGTGACGAGTGACGGCACGTGATGACTGCATCGATCATGCTCGTGGTGCATGGTGCTCAATGAGATTATCTAGCTACTAGTAGTCAAATAAATGCAGCGGCTTCTTTCGGTTGACCAAGGATCGACTACCTAAATGTACTTGCTACAATGGACGGGACAGATACAGGAACCAGTATGCAATCAAGGCCATCTCTAGATTGGCGTAACCATGATTTCTTTGAACAGGCTAGACGAATTGACTACGGAGCGGAGGAGGATGAAGCATGGCCAATTCCGTCGCGAGAGAGCATGCAAGAAAAGTTTGCTTTTCGCCAAGGCATTCGAGAAGAGACGCTGCAGCACCGCAGAATACACAAGCATGGTGGCATGGGTCAAACAGGGCGGAATATTTCGTTGGTTCTTCGTGATCGAGAACTGAAAGGTGCCTCAGGAGTGGCTCTGCGCCGCCGTCCTTCCGACAATCCCAAGAATGTCAAACAGGTCCAAGGAGGCAATACTAGTAGCACCAACAATAACAAGCATGCAAGAGAGAATGGCGTCATCGCTGCGAACAACGTATCAAAAGGAAAAACAACAAACACAAACATCAGTGGATCCAATCATCTGCAAAAGCCAAAGCTCAGCAACAATAGAGTTTGTTACCCGACAAAAATCTCTCACGAGGTTCAGTTGTTCGCTGAGTATTACAGCGTCGTGCGCTATCATTCCGCTTTTTTCAGACATTTGGGTGGTGACGACGAACAAGGGGAAAGTGGAGAGAGACCTTCGTCTTCCAAGGCTGTCAGTACCATTTCGATTGCCTTCTCTCCGGATTCTCAGACTATGGCGTCCACTCACGGTGATCACACTGTCAAAATCACTTGCTGCTCTTCGGGGTCCTTATTGCAAACTTTGGAAGGACACCCTCGGACGCCTTGGACTGTCAAATATCACCCTATAGATTCCGCAGTTCTGGCAAGTGGCTGCCTCGGACACCAGGTGCGCTTGTGGCACTGGCCTGACAAAGTCTGCTTGCAGATGATTCGGCTGGAATTCGCCATTATTAGTTTGAGCTTTCATCCCACCGGAAATTTGCTAGCCGTCGCAAATGGGACCAGGCTGCACTTTTGGGGGTACAACCAAAAGACAAATTCCAGCTCCGATACTGCCGCACAAAACGAACGAGCTGGGTCGTCGGCTAGGAATTCACGCGGAATTTTGACCGAGGTTGATCAGAGACACATGCTGCGGTGCGTTCACTTCCCACCAGAAGGAAATAGTATCATCATTGGTGGAGTTAATCCGACGACAGATGACCCAAGAAGGAGGAGGGGCGGAATTGGTGGAAATGGCATGAGTTTCTACTTGCGTCTGTGGGATTTTGATATCGGGGCAGCTCTTCAAACGTTCGATGATAGTGCCTCGTCCGGCCGACGGAGAGCAATTAGCAATGTGAGCTCATATCCACCATTGAATACGTGCATGTACAACGAGCACCAGTATTCCGACTCACGCTTTCTCTTCACTGCCAACTAACTGTACATGTAGCCGCGGACGTTTGTCCCACGGGCTCTTTTATACAACGATGGTGGCTTTGACGTTTCGCCGGATGGGAAAGAGCTGTGCGCCTGCGCTGAGTATTGGTTGCCAGAAGGCGTCAACAGTGCGATGGAACTCGTGCAACGAGATGACGAAGAGGATTATTCTGATGATGAGGTCGAAGCGGATGGTGGACAAGAGCACTCTGTAGACGGCAGCAACAATAGGCAATCTGAAAGAGAAGGAGCATCAACACCCACGCAGACCGATGTTCCGGAAGGTGATCGAGCCGTTTTGTCCACGCCACCTCCCAGCGGTACTAGTGGTGACGGCCCCCGCACCCCTGTTCGCTACAGCACTCCTGTTCCACCACCAGCCGACACACACAGAGGGAACGCAGCAGCTTCCAACAGTCAGGAGATAGCGCCTCAGACACCTCCACGATCCAACCGTCCGCGGTTGGCTCTATCACCTCCGTCGCCTCCTGGGAGGCGCTTCTCGGGCGGGGTTAACCGCGGTGGTGCCAATGCTGGTCCAGCTGGAAACTCGTCGACATCTCACCGAATCCAACCATTGCTCTCAACACCCACCCAAAATCAACAAAGCGGCCCTGGACCCATCCCTCCGCCACCCCCACCGCCTCCACCACCTCCTGGAATTGCCAGCAGGCCACCCCATCCACTCTCGATCATTTCAGGAGGGGCCAACTACGAGGATGTGCTGAACAAGAAAGGGCGTTATGTGCCGCATGTGGTTACAGTCAGCCTCGACACGACACCCATGGCTGACGCAGCCGAAGCGCAACGAGGCATAATGAAGTTGACACCGGTTGCAAGGGGCTATCGTCCCCGATTAGGTCAGCTTTTGGAAGCCAGCCCGTTGGACGGGGCCAAGGCGTCAGCAGTCACCTGCGTCAAGTTTTCGCCGTCCACCGACTTCTGCCTGATCGGGTATGGCGTTAGGGAACCAGTGGTGGAGGGAGGCGGGCATTACCATCCCGTGACAGCTCTGTATCGTGTTCGCGGAGGAATGACCCATGTATCAACCATGCTCAGCGGTGATGATGATGTGAACATTGCAAGGTTTCACCCTGACTCTGGTTACGGGTTTGTGTATGGGACCAAACAAGGTCGAGTCCGAGTTCTGAGCCCGAGACCATGGAATTTTTATCACTGATTTGACGAAGGGCTACGAGCGGGGCTCTTTGGAGGCCAAGGCGTACGAAGAGGGTAAGATTTATTACATCTTCATGGGTGGGTTATCCTTGCGAGCCCCCTTGTTGAATGCCACAGTCCATTGTAAATTCAGCTGTTGTTTTTTAAAACTGCACTTATGACATGTTGGCTCAAACAGAATGAATCAGATGTACTAAAACTGGGCTTGCTCTAGTAGCTAGCTAGCTGCTACTAGCTAGGCATAGCTATCGCAACAGCTATTGTGGCAGATAGATCCCAGGAGATCTTTTTTAAAGTATCGTCAGTGGCCTCCTAAAAGATCGGGTTGGCTTTTTTTTTTTTTGCGGCCGTGCTCACACCGGCGCTGATTGCATGGTTGGACAAGTAGAGGAAACTCGATTGATCTTGTCAAAGACACAGTTGCCTTTGTAGCCCATTCAAAGGACAGAATCTTCCAGCTAGCTAAAGGAAAGCCGAAGAGATGGAGCAGAGCTCCGACGACAAATCTGTAAGCTTAACGGGCTATGAAGTGACGAAAACAGATGCTGAAGGGAACGCTTTAGTTATTAGCACTCGACTGTGTCGCGATGCGGAGAGATGGAAGCTCATGCCCGCACTGGATGAATTCCAAAAGTTGACGACTCTAGACCTCCACAAGAGCCGATATCTCAAGACTTTGCATCCATCCGTTGGAAACTTGCCCAATCTACGAGAGCTCTATTTGGCACGCTGTGAACTGCTGGAAGAGCTTCCTGACACGCTTGGGCAGCTAGTCAATTTGGAGGTGCTGGACATGATGGACTGCACAGTCCTAAAGTTCCTCCCAGATTCAATAGGTAACTTGAAAAGGTTGGTTATCGATGCTTCCAAATGTCCACTTTGCATTCTGGCTCTGCAGACAGATTCTTCTTACTTCATTTTTAAATTAATTAATCAATACCCATCCGCCCAGTCTAAAGCGCCTGTGCCTTGGGGGGCATTTTGGGACTGGTAACAAAGTGTTGGAAGCACTTCCTGATTCGCTGTGTCAACTATCAAACTTGGAAGAACTCAACCTGGACAAGTGCAAGGCTCTGAAGCGTCTCCCGGAGCAGATTGGAAAGCTAAAACGTCTGAAGCGACTTAACATGAGGGAGAACAAATGCGTCCAGGCACTTCCGGAATCGATAGTGGAGTGCAACTTAGTGGAGGTGTCTCTTTCCAAGTGTGTTTCTCTGACATCGCTTCCTCCAAACCTGGAAAAGTGGGCTGATCTCGAGGACCTTGTTCTGACCAAGTGCAAAGGTATAACCTGGCTCCCCGACGACATCGATAAATTGAAGAGCTTGGCTCTTTTGGACTTGAGAGCATGCAAGAAGCTAGAACAAATCCCTCAGTCACTAGGATCTTTGCCTCATCTTCGCATTCTTGACCTTTCGGCATGCAAGAGCTTGAAGGTGGTCCCTGAGACACTTGCAAATTTGCCTAGCCTGGAAAGATTGGAGCTTTCGGGATGCCTGAGCCTCAAGGACATTCCAACCTGTGTGCGGACAATGAAAGCGGTTACACTAGGAGATCAAAAAGAAGGCGACTAAATAGTTGTTTTACATGTGGCCATATCTCGAGAGAGACCTTGCCCAGCCCATTTGCTGGGCCGTCCTTCGAAATAAGAAAAAGGGCAAGAGACGGAAGTTTTCGTTTCGGTTTTGCAACTCTGCACCGGTACCCAATACTATGCGAGTTCCGTTGTGACGGTTTTCGCTGCTCGTCTCCTTGCTTTGATATCCAAAACTTGTTCTGAATACGTCTGAAGCGCCTCATCGATCGCATCCCAGAGCCTCCGTTCCGCTTGAGCAATCTCAGGATCCGCAGATTCTTCCGTGGGCATCATTGCCAAATTCATTGTGTCTCGGGGGGCTGAATCAGAGATAGCCACAACGGATGCAGTGGCTTCATGGCATTCAGTGTTTGAGAGCCGCTTGTCGTCACTTTCGTTAGTTTCTTTCAAGTTGTTGCGCTGTCCCATTGCTTGAGTGACTTGCTCTACTTTCGTTTCTTCAATTATTTTCGGGCTTGCAGTGCTCAGGTTCCCCTCCTCGATATCGTCGCCGCCGTGGGCGAGTTGCCTTCTGTCTTTTTCTACGGTTTCTAACACGGGAGGTTCCTTTCTGGCAGTCTTTGTCGCTTGGTGCTTCGATTGCATTGTTTTGTCCAGAGGTGCTATTTGGCTCGTGGACGCCAACTTTTCTCGTAGTTTTGAAAACTCCTGGTGTTTGGCTTTCTTTTCGTTCCGAATGATGCGTAGGTACAAAACTTTGTACTCGTCAGCCGAGACCTTCTTTCCATCCTTGTCTGTGTATTGGAATTTTCCATTGACTTTCTGCACGAAGCAGGACGTCGACACTTCTGCATTTCTCGAGCGTTGGTGTTTCCTCTCCTCGGTTTCCTCGAGACATGGCCCGACCTTCAACAAGAGGTCTTTCCGACTGGCACGGCCGTCTTCTGACAGCGGATGCGACAACAAAGGATACCCTGTCTCTTCCAAGATACCTTTGGCATTTTCCAGTCGCGACTTGGATTCATTGGGTAGCGAACAGTATGCTCGTATCTTTCGTTGCAGCTCAGAAAATTTACTGGTCGCCAAGGCCAAAGTGGTTGCTTGGGTGTCAGTTTCGTTGCCACAATTTCTTTCTGCCTCCTTGGAGCCATTTGGCGTCGATTTTTGGAACTCTGCCATGCCAACTTCGCTAGGCAAGAGGATGCTTTGTCGCCGACGCTTGTTGGACTTTTTCTGCTTCTTTCGTTGGCCAGAAGATTGACCAACATTATCGTGGTTCTCGCCCAAATCAATTTGGGGTCGGTGCGAAGCTTGCTTTGGTGGAAGTGGTGGAAACTTCGAGGATGCCGAAGAAGTACTAGTGGAGGTTGTGACTCGATGCAAGGGAACATGGCATAAGGACCGTCTCTTCTTGCTTTTGCTCGAATTCTGTTTGTCCCCGTTTACTTTGCGCTGTGGAGAATGCGTATGGCTGTTTGAGAGATCATTGAGGGGCGAACTTCTGTTCTTGGCCAGCATGAACGCAGAAGAAGATCGACGACGACGTTGTCTCGCGCTGATACTCAAAGAAGGAGAAGGCGGCGAAGGGACAGATAGAATGTCTTGACAGGTGTCCACGTTTATCCCTTTCAAAAAATGGCTTTCTTCTTCAAGGAGGGTCGCCTTTTTGGAACGTTTGGCTGTGGTTGAGCCGAGAGGTTTGAGACGTGAGGCAGCCATGGAGCTAGCTGATATTGGATCTTCTTGTTGCTCTGTCGATGCCATTGTTGCCGATTCTTTCTCCTTTTATCTACTGTATCGATGGCCTCCGTATTTGTTTGATTTGACTAAATCATTTTGACTTCCGGAAAAAATGATATGTCTCAGCAACGGCTCCCAGGATTGCAGTAGGGTGTCCGCACTTCCAAAAATGAAATAGCCGAGGGGTAAGGCTAAGGGACACGGGGTACCTGGCAACACTTGCCAATTGCTATGGTACCAGTACTGGTGCAACCCAACCCGCTGGATTATTGCTACTGACGTCACTGTAGCTTTTGCGAGATCCTGAAGGCGTCAAAAGATCTGATGAGGTGGGCGCCAAGATGCCAAGCAGCAACTTTCGATGCCATTTTCTAGTTACAGTCAAGAGATTGCACGATGACACCGATCCGTTGCCTTGTTGTTTTCTTAGTTGTGTCCTTGGCACAGGGATTCAATGTGGGTAAGGCAGCGCGCCCAGCTAGAGCTTCGAATTTGCCGTTTGCTTCTTCCTGGATTGGGTATCTCACTGTTTTCTCTTCCCCGTTACTGTACCAGAGGCCCCAAGGAAGCTTCCAAAAGTAGAGCTAAAGAAGGCAGCAATTGGTGCTTTTGCGGCCTTTTCAATCGCATCCAACGTCTTGGCTCCAAACGCCGTTGCCGTTGATTACCACGCCGCTGCGCTGCCCTCCAGCACGATCATCGCGGAAACCGTTACCAGGGAGGGTGTGTATGGAGAATACGAGGTGGATGTTACCCCACAAGCCTACGATGACGCTCGTTCAACATTCAAAGATGCCAAGGAAACCAAGTCGAAGAAGGGTGCGTTCTGGGTGGCTGGATTGCCGTGCTTGCAACGTGAATGCTCACTTACGGTCCTGTTTGTTTTCTTGCTCTTGTGGTATCCGTATCATTGTACTGAAATATGCTTTCGATTCCATTCCATTTCTTGTTTTTGCTTTTCTGCGTTGTGATATCAGGCAAATACACTGCCCTGCTTGCAGTTCTGGTTGTTGGATCCTTTGTGATCCCCATGGCTCAGTACTTTTGGTATGTCCGTGATGACGATTCTTCTGATAAGTTCTTCGCAGAAGATGTTCCTGATCCACCCCAAAAGAAAGGCTGGTTCTAAATAAAGTTGGGACCACTACGCATGTTCCTTGGCTATAAAATTGTTATCAAGTAGACCAATAAGCTACCTGCCTATCGGTACCGGTATGGTTAGAGGCACCATGAGTATCATTTTGTGGTTTCATGATTCCACAAGCCGAAATTATAAGTTAGTTAGACCAAATTTTAGTTCGGGAACATGAGGACAATTCAGAATTCTAGTATTATACTAAATAGCAACATTGTCTTCTAAAGTACACTTGTTTTTCAGTTAAAATGCGCAAACTCTTGCCCCACTCTGAACCAATGGTCGAAGCAGCTGTCGAATCACAGTCAGGGCGAAGCTAAAATCTTGTTGTGACTAGCTACGACGATTGCGTAGGTAAACCAAGTTGAAGTTGAGCTTCAAACAATATTATTATTGTTATTAATTTGAGAATTCGCCCCATGTCCCCGCGTGGTCATCAGTTGAGAATAATGTTACGTACCTCGTCACCACCGACTTGAACGTTGACCATTACCCTGAGGACATCACCATGATGATACTCAAATATCAATACTTGGAAATATTGTATATTCTCTTGGCGGCAGCAAGCACTGTCTTGGCGTCCTTTTGCACGAGGGGTCCTTTCTCTGTCAATGCCGTTCAGAGATCAAGAAAATGGGTGGACCCGATGGGGCCATTACAAGCAAGGCATGACATCTCTCAACATGGTCTCCCTGATGAACTTTTTCCAGCAAGACATGAACCCTTCGAAAGCTTCTTCACGCCACAACCTTCAGATGGATTGGATTCTGTTAAGATCTTTGACAAGGAAGAAGGTCTTGGGCGTGCTTTGGACTTCAAGTTCAGCATCTTGGACAAGGCAGCAGGCAGTGTTCCTCCTTTGGATTTGAAATTTGACACCTTGTTGGACAAGGCAGCAGGCAGTGTTTCTGCTTTGGATTTGCAAGTTGGCAACTTGGCAAACGAAGTTGGCACCTTGGCAAAGGAAGCTGACGCTAGCAAATTTGAGACGGTTGAATCGATTAGGGCAGCACGGGACTCTTTCAAAGAACAGCTGGACATCAGCCTGCCGATCTATTCTGAAAAAGCGGGAGAAGTAGTCAATGATGTAGCGAGAGCTGTGGACAAATCACGAGAAGCAATCTTCGGAGCTGAGAAAGCCTTGGTGGATAAAGCAGTCGAGCTATATACCACTGAAACAACCCAGCAAGCTCCGTTTGCCGAATTTGCAGAGAGATACTCGGCATCTATGGAATCACATTACAAACTGTCAGAACTGGCGGAGTCGATATCGAACGGCAAGCTACTCCAAAGCTCGATAGAAATTATCACGGAAAAATGCCAGGAATCGTTGGATGCTTTGGATCTCAAGCAAAACACACCAGTTCTACTCCTGGTGGTAACATTCTTCTGGAGTACAATTCAAAGACGGGATGGGATTGAGTACGGAAAGGCTTTGTCGCAGGTCACCATTGATAATCTAAAAGACCAGCTCAAGTCCACCAAAGACGCAGCCAGGAAAGAAAATGCTGCAAATGCTGCTCAAATCAAGGATTTGCAGTCCAAAATGGTATGTCCGAACTGCCAGTGATTTTACTGTGTGGCTTTGACCAATAATTTGGAGTGACTGACGTTGGCTTTCCACCTTTTCCATTGCAGGACGAGTTGCAAGCACAGGTTGAGACTCTCAATGTTGCTTCTCGGGAAGCAGCACTGCAGCTTGAACAAGCGAAAGCAGAGGCCTCAATTGAACAGGATTTGGTCCCACCAATCGAGAAACTCCAAACAGAATCTCCAAAAGTGCCCAGCACTCCTCCACCAGTAGAAGAAGCTCAAGAAGAGCCAGAGATCCAACCAGTCAAGGCTGTGAAGAAGGCGCCAGCCAAACGAAAGAAACTGACGAAAAAGAAGGTTACCAAAGTGTCTCCTAGTGCTAAGAGCATTGCAGAATCAGAGCCAGAAGTCGAGGTAGAGAAGGTGATTACCTCTCCAAAGAAACAGAAAGGTATTAAAGGGTCGAAGGCTTCGCCGGCTAAAGCGAGCAGAAAGAAGCAGAAGGCAATGAAAAGCGTGCAAGCCAAGACTAACTTTGGCGTAGTGAATGGTGTGAATGGGGACGCTGGGGTCAAAACGAGTGCTCCTGCTAAAACCAAAGTCCAAGCCACAAACGACACACCTAAAAAGAAAGTGAAGAAAGAGGCAGCCGCCACCAAGACAAACGGAGCAGCAGAACCGGATTGGACAAGCTTTGCTCAATCAACCCTCAAACGAAAAACGGTGAAGGAATTGACGAGCTACTTGGAAACGAAGGGAGTTGAAGTGACAGACGAGAATGGGAAAACATTGAAGAAAGACTCTCTTGTGGGTTTGGTGTTGTCGAATTGAATATTCGGATCAAGTTTTGTTAGTGATAGTAGTATTGTAGTGTATTTGGTTGTTGATTTCAGCTCAAGCGTCTGGAAGCGGAAGGCACTCATCACTGAACCACACCTTTTGCAAAGAAGCGTGTGATCGTTTCGAAGGGCTCTTCAGTTTGACCTAGTTCACGCCAGAACGCTTCCCGTGGGCGTTCATCATTTCCAGGAATCCTGTCAATCGACATTCGCACCTTGGCGTAGACTGCGTCGATATCCATTCTTGCTGAAGCCTCGTCTTCATTATTCGCCACTAGAAATTGAACGGGTGAGTAAACAACAAGTGGTTGCAAACAAGCCGAAACGCAAATGACGTACCCTCTGAAGATGGCGGGGGGGAATTATTGAGCAGTGACTCGACCTGAGCCTCAAGGGAGTTGCATAGCTGATTGTATTCCTGGATTTCCGACTAGATCGGACAGACAGGGAGAGGAGAGATCAAATGAGAATGATTCAATCCAGAGGTTGATTGAATAATTTATTTGTGAACATGCATTTTCTCACACCCACCTTCAGACGCGTTATTTCCGTTCTGGACTCATCAAGTATCATGCCAACATATTCGAGAGCAACAGACAAAGGCACGGTTTCGGTTTGCTGCCCACCCGATGAATATTTTTTCACATCCCCGCTGAATTGCTCCGTACTTTCACCAGCCAAGATGCGAGTGATTCGAACAGGAGTGATTGCTTTCCCCTCGGAGGCTATCTCCAATGCTTCATGGATGTTGCCCAAAATCTGAGCTGGCCCATTTCCATCATCCGAATAGTCGTCGTTTTCGTTCTGGTCCTTGGGAAGGTTTCCAGCCTGGCAAGCATACATGCTAAGAGAAAGCGAAGAGCAAAGCTAGCGGTACACGCAGCTTCATCCAAACTTACCTCACTAACAAGAGAAACCAGGTGACCCAGGACCTCCGAGAGGACCTCCGGATCAGCTTTAGACATCGCCATCATCTGATAGAAGTTGCAGGAGAAAGAAGCATCAGGGTGGCAAAATACAAGGGGGTGAAGGACCGCAGCACTCGTTTTCCCGCACTTGCCTGTCGCATAGACTTCTCGCTCCTTTCATGCGCATATCGCGACAAAAGCATGGGCCCCATCTGCAGCCTCTCATAGAGTAGTAACTCGCCTTCATCAAACGAGGCCTCTTGAACTATCACCAGGGCATCATAGTCACCAATTTCATGACAGTGAGAGTCAGTAAGCGCCTGTCACAGCGCAAAACGGCATTAAAACTTCAGAATTCATTCAAACCCAACAACAACAATCCAGCAGTTTGCAGTGTCAAGAACTTACAGCGATGGCTTCACGGTGCCTCAGTTTTTCACCTTCAGTGTCGCCCGATCGCTTGGCCTGGTTCCATTCATCAAGGGTGAGCTCTAGCAATGTCCTTCGCAACGATGGTGTGAGGTGGCATTTGTTTCGGTTGAGATGGGCGAGAATCAGACGAAGCATTTTGGGATTGTCAAGAAAGGCCGCATAGAACAGCCTCACTGGATACGGCTCGCATGTCTTGTCGCGCTCATCCAAGGCATACGAGAGCATTTTGTTTGCTTCTGCGACAGGTCCGGTTGCTGCTTCGGATAGAGACTCTGGCTTGAACGTTCCTAGGCATAGAGCCACAACAATGCCCGCCGTTTCTTTGGGCATTGCCCGGGCTAGGGCAGCGCCGTGCTCTGTCAACATTTCAGCCGCTTGCTGTGGTGACATGCTGCAGATTGTCGACAATGCATCCCTAGGATTGTAAGCAAGATTTGTCGAAAAGGATTGCAGAGAATCATTGCCCAGCAGTGATGAGGGTGTCGTAGTTGCAATCGAGTCAGCTGCTTCAGAATCGTTCAGCTTCAGATAGCAGGTTCGCAATAGTTGGCAATGAACTGGCGTTGCCAACTCTCGTTCTTTCAGTTTTTCCAGGTACTGGGCGAGGAGTGGAATCTTTGGAGCATCCAAGAATCTGAAAATGACATGTGATGATTCTAGCGAGCCAATGGTGTGGCAGTATTGCTCGATTGAAGCCGTGTAATCCCCCTTGCGGTACAAGTGCTCTGGAAGTAGGAGGAAACGCTATCGGGATTAGAGAACAACACGTTCGAGTCGTTAACCAGTGACTCTTTCGCTTACCGGCATACTTTCTGTACAGAGAAGTGACAGCAGAGGGTTCAAGAGATGGGTCTGCATAAGCCACTGCAACAGCAGCAGAAAAGAGATTTTTCTGAACGAGCAGTTGTACTTTCTCATCCGTGGTCTTCTCCGTAAAGGTAATCAAACTTCCTCCTGAAGTTAGCACCACTGCAGACGACCTACAGCTTTTGGTTTTCCCGACGGTTGAGCTACTCCTGGATGTTGTCACCCCAGCCCCCTTCACAGCACGATGGCCTGGACTGAGCAGCAAATGGAATGCAACAAGTTTATTGGTCGAATCATATATGTCAATGACATCTCTGTCGGGGGGAAAGCGCGTTATTTGAGCGGCGTCATGTCATCGTGGTGGTGCCGTGATGGGAAGGAAACACTTTTATTTCCATCGCTTACCGGTCTGACTTTGAGTCCTTGGATGCCACTAAAACATAATTTGACCCCACATCCATCGATGAAAGATCACGATCATAGGAGGCATCCAAAGGGCGAGGGACCAGGCATATTTGCTCCTTTGTGCCCTCAATCGGCGAGACTGAGATTTTCTGGGTCCGGGAATACGTGTAAAGACCATCATTCCTTGCCACTGTGAAATGCAGCCCCTCACGCGTCACGACAGCATCGCACAGCCCAGACCCAGAAACATTTCGTCCATCCAAATCGTGTCTTGCACTTACAGAAGGTGCCGGCGAGGACGACGAGTTTGTACTTGGCGCTGGCATGTCGTAGCAACAAATCCCAGAAGACGACGAATTCTGCGAGTCCTGGGACCTTCGGTAGGCAACAAACACACTGACTTTTCTTTCTCCGTCGACGGCGCAGCGGACGCTCACAACGCTGCAGGAACGAAGTGACTGTGGTGGTGCTGGAATTCTCAGATAACGCTGGATACCACTTCCAGCACTCCTTGCTGATGTCGATCCATAGGTGCAGACTAGGACCACTCCCGTGTCAGTTCCAACACACACAATGCCTGGGACAATATCGACGGCAGAAGGGGCTCCATCTTTGGAGGTATTCCAGGAATCAAGGAGGTAGCAGGTGCAGTCATCTATAGACGTCAGATTTCTTGCAAGTGGAAAATGTCGCGAAAGATGCAAATGGGGATCTTCCAACACGCTGATTTGTTGTTTGGCAGCACAAGCCACGTACAACGGTCTGTGGCCTTCCTCAGATCGACAAGATGCCACGGCAATCACTCCCGGTGCAGATTCGTTGGCAGTGCTTTGGACAGAGCCAGTGTCTCGCCTTGTAGTTGCAGAGGAAAGTTGAGAAAAAGGAGAAAAGTATCCACGCCAACCATCCAAATCTTCGAGATTACGCCTGGCTTCCGATAAGGGATTGCATCTAACCGTGACATCGAAGCAATGCACGAGACCCGTCTCTTTGGAAGCTGCGAATGCGAGGACTAAACCCTCAATAGTTTGTCCTGAGATGTAACCACTGAATGCTAAGTCTTCATTTTTCTGAGACTGGCTGTGTAGGCTGACGTTTGGGACTACCCCAGCTGCGGCGATGTCAGTGTCAACGTCGCCCCCAAGCTCCGCCATGGTACATGCATTGAGAGCCAGCCACATTTGCGACAGCGCATCGTTATCCGTATCCGAGGGAAGAGGCGCTTCTGTTATCTGTGGGATTGAAGGGAGAGCCGGTGGCTTACTCTTTAGTGGCAACGATGCAGTGGTAACTGCCAGACTGACGCCATCAAACGACGACTCAGCTGCCAGGCTGTGGGACAAAGATCCTGATTTTGAAGCATGTTGAGGAAAGAGATCATTCAGTACCTCCGGAGGCACAGACAAGGACTGCTTTTCGAAAAAGGCGAATCGCTTCCAGCGAGACGACGCCATCACACCGTTTATTGTTGTCTACTTCAAAAACTACCGGTAGACTAATGATCGTCTTTGCCTTCTTGGATCTTGGGTTCGAAATGGGTCAATAATAACAATAATAATAGTGCTGTAAGCTGTTGGGGGGGCAAAAAAGGGGGACTAAACACTAAACAGTAACTAGCTATAACAAACCAATAGCTAATCTTATCCAGGAAGCCCATCACTGCCTGCTTCATCAGCTACTACAAATTCAGATTGAATTGTTCCTTCCCCTTCTAGTGATCTTGCGTAGGAATACTATAATACTATATAGTATTCCGGGACCCAATATTGAATCGCTTGTAACCAATTCCGCGAACATCGGATTCTGGATCGGAGGTAATCTATAATTCTTATTTATCTTAAAAATATGTCTTGTGTTTGCTCGGTGACACTGGAGGCAATTTCCCGGTATATATACCATTTCATCACTCCCCCATTGCCGAACAACTCTGCAGGTTCTCTCGAATCGTTGTGATTCTCGAGTTCGAGCAGTTGGTGACACCCAGCACTAATTCGCACATACTGGTGTGTATGCAGGTATTTATTTACGCTTTAGCACTGCCTATACTCAAGCACTAGCCTTCTATATCACGGGAAGGATTCTTCGAATTTTTCTTACGTACGTCAGTAGAGGTTCGGGTTCGTATCGGAAGACGACTGACGTCAGTTGTAGAGGTACGTGTTCTCCAACTCGCGCGATTGCTCCCCCAGGAACCTCTGGGAATTCCTGGGACTACGTTGGAACAATCTTTGAGCGATACTTACAGTACGGTGTTCTTCGGGCGAATGCAAGGGAAGCGAACTGATGCTATCTTGCAGTCGGAAGGGTACTGACTGTGCCTTGCTAGTAAGAAGTTGGGTCGTACTGGTTTCTTCTCTTAACTCACGAACGGTGGTCATAACATGGAGAGCCATTTCTGAAAGACTTAGACGTGTTCACTAGTTGTTCCCCATGCAATGTCATGGTGGGAAGGAGAAGTCTCCCAGAGCACGGCTACTATGTTATCTAGCGAACGTCTTATACTATTTACGAGTGAGACCTACTTATCTCACCACTTGAGGTGAACTTCTCCCCCAAAGTCTGTACGAGGATGGTCTGTTACGGGGAATTGAAGACTATAAATCCCCCGGAACGGGTGTTTGTGTTCAGGGTCCAAGCCTACTAACGAATCATATACTACGGAGTATTGGGGTACTCACGGGGTACCCTTACTTAATTGTCGTAGTCCACCTTGGAGCCCTGCAGTGCTGTCTCTGCAGACTTGTTAAACGATAAGGAGGATGGTATTAGTTAACTAGGCATACTCTAGAGAACGTTCCGGAACAATGTTAGCTTCTCAACCGGTGGAGGTTAAGTCCTGGAGACACTGAGAAGTTTAGCTCAGTCTCTCGCCCGTTTTTAAAATTGTGAAGCTTTTATTTATTAAGCCTTTTCTACTAAAGCTACACAAAGTTGCGTAACTTAGACCAATACAGGGAGTAAGATTTCATGAGTGCAAACCACAATACTACTATTTTACTATATGTCTGTACCATGGATTGTAAATATATTACATTATTCCTTCTTTTTATTACGCCTCCAGAGTTTGACATGTGTCAGGAAATATTGAAAAGTACACAATTACTATACGACTTGAGTCAATGCATGATTCGCGCTGAGAGTTTATATCTTTCTAGAGGCATGTATCAATGCCTGTGCAGAATGGCGAATGTCCTATGCTTACTGGGTAGATTAAAGACATAAGCTAGGAAATTCGAATCCTGCATAGCACAATTCTCTGTACAAAGTATTGCACGAATCTACCTGAAAACAAATTCATGAATTTGTATTGCTTTACTATACGAATAATCGCCTGTGCAGGATTTGTATTCCGTTTGGCGAAATATGCATGTTTCAAAGGTCACGAGTACTTATTCCCGTGCAGGATTCGATTTTTACTGGTTAACAGGAGATATAAGGTCGATAGTTCGAATCATGCATAGCAACCTTTTTGCACCCATAGAATTTTTTACTATATAATATACTGTATGAATCTACCTGGAAGTGCAGTCACGAATTCTCATCAGGTGTCTCTAGTCAAGCTAGGAGATAAGCAATTCGAGTCCTGCATATCAACGCTTTTACAATCTACAATGTAACATCATTTACTATAAAATGTACTGTAGTATTTTTGTAATTCACGATTCGAAAAGGAATTTTGTATGGTTCCTGCAAACCATTGTAGTAATCTATAGTAAAATAGTACGATTGTGCTTTGTCAAAACGAAATTGTACTCTATCTTGCTAGTAACTACCTGGTACCTTTGTACCTTTATTTCGCCCTTTATGCAGGTTTCGATGGCTTCCTCTTTCTTTATCTCTAACCCTTATCTTTCAATAAAATAATTTTATTTTAAACAAAACTCACGCTCCTCAGTAGCTCCCCCTAGGGTCGTTAACCATTACCAGGATTCGAACCACAGGCCTGGGGATCCTTACTCTAACTGGAGGACCGAGTGTACTTATTCTATGATGGCTCCCTGGCTGTCCAGGGTAGAGGCAGTACTGTTAATCCTATGAATTCTTAATTATCTTAAAAATATGTCTTGTGTTTGCTCGGTGACACTGGAGGCAATTTCCTGGTATATATACCATTTCATCAGTAACCACAAGAAAGAGCAGAACGTGTAGATACTGTTGGGTTCTTAAAACACTGTAGCTACTATTCTTATCCGGGTTATCTAGCTGATTCGGGCGAGCTGGGAAGAAAAAGTGATCTTCCAGCTTGGGTCAGGTTGAATCTGGATTTTGGAATGTCAGATTCCCTTAAATTCTTGCGAGGATGCGGTCTTTCTACTTATCCGGGTACGCCAACGCTAAATTGCTAAACCGAATAAATTTTGACCGTCCAACACACTCCTGTGTGGATCCCTAGTGGATACCACGGGTACTACCGATGGTTCGGACTGCATTGATGTAGGGACTGGAGGTCCTATGGAAGAAAGGAAGTAAACTGTTGGAAGGTAGCACTTGGGATTGGAATAATGGTTGTGGAGACTCCGAATGGATGTACTCTACTAGTGGACCTTGGTTGGACTTGGTCTTGATGATGGCTGATGATGGATGGTTGGAAATGAATCGATCTTGATACTGGTGGATTTTGATGTTGGTTCCTGTGGCTGTCACTGGTATTGGTACTTATCGTTGGCTGTCCTCGAGGTTGGGAGATAGCTGTTGTAGGATTGGTTGTCTGGATTGTAGTTGTATGACTTGAAGTTGCTGTATCTACGGTAGGCTTGCATTGGATGGGTTCGATGGATGCTTTCGATCTGGATGGACATATCTGAATTCGATGCTTGCTTGTTTGGTGTGAGAGACTTCGGTGATGGCAATTCGATGATTCGATGGTTGCTGTGGAGCTGCGAGGGGGTTCCTCATATGATGATCTTGTAATGATGATCTTGTAATGATGATCTTGTACTAATGGACATGGTGAACACTTGATGGAGCTCTTGAGGTGGTTCCTCTTCTTGTTGCCTATTGTTTCAGGCGGCCTATGCTTTCATGGCAGACTTGGTTGGTCTATTGGTCACTCGTTGGGTGACTGCTCCTTGCCTTGGTATGGCTTGATTCGATTTGTGTTGTCTTCTGGTGTCACCGTCTCATTGAAGTCAGCCAAAACATCCGCTCTGTGGCGGCTCTGGGTCAGTCTGTAGCTTCTGTGAGCTTGCTCCGGCCTTGTGTAGGCTCGATACCTGGTCTTCTCGTGATCTTGGTGGATCAATGTTCACTGTTGTTCTTCTGCTGATGATGCAGTTGCTGCTGTTGCAGTTGCCTGTACTGTAGATGCAATTCAAAGGATGGTTAGTACTGGTGGCAATGGCTGTTGGCCATGCTGTTGTTACCATTGATGCTGTTGGTGGCTGTTGGTGGATGTGACATTGCCTGGATAGGCGGTAGACATGATGGTTTTGTCGTTATTGATGATGATGCCTTTGTCAATGGCGACTTGGTTGTTGGGATTGTTGCCGTTGTGGATGGCATTGCTGCGTTTGGTGTCGATGTTTTGGATTTTTTGGGTACCTCCACACTCCTGTGCACTTGCTGTTGCAAAACTGGAAGGGCATGATTGTTGCTATTCGATAGGATGATTGGTCGGAGATGTGGTGGATGCTATTGTTGTTGTCTCGAGACTGTTGGTTGCCTCAGGTATGCTTGTGATTGATGGTTGGTGGAGGTGTTGAGGCTGCATGACATGCCAGCAAACACACTCTCAAAAGGTAGGTAGGAGGTGCAGTGGCTGTTGCCACAATACACACTCGAAAGAAAATATTATAGGTCAGGTTGCACTCCTGTGCTTCCTGTTGCTTGACAAACAGATGGATTCGGTAGCTCTTGGCTATCTAGCTGGGACTGGCCCAGTTGCTTCGTGTACCTGGATTCGGCATGCTGTACACAGGGCGTGACTTGGATTGCTGGCGGGCATGGTGTGGCACTCCTGTGTGAGCACTGTTGTCGTCTTTGGTATGTGTCGTTCCTCTGTTGTTCATCTGTCGTCTGTCGCCTTGTTGAAATTCTCTGGTTTGGTTGGCAAAGCTAGCTGTTTTCGGGCTGCTGCCAATACTTGGATCTGGCTCGGTGGTCGTCTGGTGGCTTCCACGCTTGATGGCCATGATGCACTGATGTTCAAAGCACACCTTCTTGTAAGACATTCCGGTTGTGGGATCTGTTGGTCTACCACAATTGTTCCAGAAATGTTGGTTTGTTGTGTGCCGTTGGAAGGTTTGCACCTCTTTCCTATCGGCACTGCTTGGTGGCTCTCTTGTTGAGTCTTCTGGAACTCCCACGGAAGCACCTCTGTGCTATATCCTGTTGGGATTTGTTATCTCGTTCCTTTTTCGTGGCAACACTTGCTGGTGTCGCTCCTGTTGTCTTTTCCATGTCGGCACTGCTTCTAGATCGGTTGCAAGTGGCTTGTTCCGATCGTTCCTTCTTT